TTAGCCACCCATTTAAGCATGTGAACTTGTGTCAAGTATTCCACAGTGGTTACTATGGGTAACACATTTTTATTTATAATAAAATAACACACATTTACAGAGTCCTTATATAGCAGGCACTTTCTAAGTTCTTTCCCGGGGGTTATCTCATTCAGTGGTGTCCCCACAATCAGAGACGAGGACTGTTCGACGCATTCCTGTGGGTGACAAGCGGAAGCACAAGCAGCCCTGTAATCTGTGTAGACGCCCCTCCGACTGTGAAACGCATGTAACGCTGCAGAGTCTTTGAAACGGAATTAAATGGGTAGAAATGTCACCTTCTAGGTGTAAAATGTCCATCTCAATATTATCTGCACTGATTTGAATTTCCAAATCAGAGCATTATTGTTCGAGGTTGAAAGATAGTAGTTCACTATGGTGTATTTATTTTTACAAAAATATCACCTTCCTACACTCCCAGTCAACATAGCTCCATTGTGCCCTTACACGTTTCCGGGTTCCATCTTAGTTTGAAACCCCGTGATCCTTACTTCTTTTCACTGAGATCTGCTCTGGACACAGAGCATTTCCGTCTCCACTTCGTGGCGCCCACTTTGAAATCGCTGGTTTCCTGTGATGACAGACAATACGTACACACCCGAGAAGAAAACGCCAAGATACTTATCGTCAGAAGTGCCTGGCACTGTTGAGACTAAACCCAGAGCTTGACTTAGAGGAATCTGCTCGAAAATCCCCCCGCCTTGCCCACACTGCAGGCTCCGCCCTGACCCCTTCCTCGGGCGCTGCTGTTGGTACAGGAGTCACAGGTGCCATGGACACGGCCTCTGAGGGCCCCGGGACCAGGCAGTGAGGGGAGTCATGCCATGTACCTGATGAAGGAGAGAAGGTGGAGCACGTGACCCTGCAGAGAGCAAGATGGTCTTTACGGATCGCTGGCCAGTGGCAAAGAGGAAGACAAAGGAAACCTTACCAGTGTTAGAAAGTTTGTCTTAGAAAGTAAGCAAAGTCCCACCACAGTTTAAAGAGAGAGTTTTCTCTGAGAGTTTGTATTGGAGTTTATACACACACACACTCACAGAATTACTCTTTGTCATAAAGAGAAAATATAGACCAGATTTATAAATACAACAGAAAAAGTGTCTAACAGAGATGCTATGATTAAGAAAGCCTAAGGCTGCAAATTTCATCCAATAGAAAAATGATTATATCAGGTTATTTTTGAAGCTGTTCTATTCTTATCACTTCAATGTGGGGATACTCGACATCACTACTAGGGTCATCGGGAAAGTCATGACGTATTTTTCTATGTTTTATCAATGCAAAAATGCGTCATGACTTTCCCAACGACCCAATATACTGTGTCTCATATCTTCTGGTCCAAGAACATGGTACAATTTCCGCTTATTTAGATCTAATTATAGTTTCTGCACATAGGCTTTATACGTATATTATTTTTGGTTCTATTATAAATGGCATGGTGTTTTCATTTTAAATTTCAAGTGTTCAGAACAGTATATAGGAAAGCAATCGACTGTTGTTGCGTAATAGCCTTGTATCCTGTGGCCTGCCGCAATCACCGGCTGCTTCCTGGAGGAAGGGTTGGGGTTTGGTTGCTGTGGTAGTTTTTGGAATTTTATCCATAGATAGTCATGGCACCTGATAACACGTGACACATGCACCATAAGGTAAGTGCAATAGTTATGGAGCTCCACGCTGGACTGAATGTTGTGTCCCCCCAAATCCACGTGTTGAAACTTTAATGCCCACAATGATGGTATTGGAGGTGGAGACTTCGGGGGTGATTAGGGTTGGATTAGGTCATGGAGGTGGGACCCCAGTGAGGGATTAGCACCCGCATAGAAGCAGGAAGAGACAGATTTCTCCCTCTTTCTGAGAGGCTGAGTGGGGACGTACCTGGGGGGCACGGGCCCACCAGGACCTGACGTGCCGGCATCTGACCTGGGACTCCCCGCCCCCCAAACTGTGAGAAATAAAGTTCTGCTATTCAAACCGTCCAGTGTGTGGTGGTTTGTTACGGAAGCCCAAGCTAACTGAGACAAATAGTAAGTTAACCTTAATAATTATGATTACAGACAAGAAGAATAGTTGATTAAGGATGAGTCATGAATGCCTCCAGAGGTGACAAATCAAGGGTCTATTTTTATGAGACAAAACAAGCCTTAAAATTACCATATTTTTAAAGGAAATATGTAGCTTTCCATGGGTTTACTAAAAACAGACATACACCAAACTGTACTAATTTTATAAAAACTTAATGTGTATTAAAATAAAAGTCAAACTCTACTGCCTTTGCTATATAAATCACAAAATAGAGCACCTACAGTGAGGACGTTTTCATGCAATCAAAAATCTGTGTACATCCATGTATTCAAACTGTAATATAAATAATGGAACCATAGTTTTTATACTGGGGAAAGAAGATTAAATTGTTTAAAAAGCTTAAACAAATTAAGAAATATTCATGATATCTGTAAATATGTATATGACAGATTAATGAAATTCTAATGAGAATTAAAACAATTCAAAAGTCAGAATTTTGTTCATCCTTTCATTAAAAAGATAGGTACATATCAGATTTCATAATAAATACAGGATTAATGCCTTCAAGAAGTACAGCTAATAGGGGCTATTATTCTTTTGTATTTTCCCAGTTTTAGTAATTGATTCAACCCCTTTTAAAAATCTATCACTGTGGAATGTTGTGATCATCATTTTGAATTTACTCATGTGTATGGTTTTTAATCTTTTTTAACACTGCCTTTTTATGTATTTCTGTTAAGGTTTTGATACATGTTTTGGCCTAATTACATATTGTCAAAGGGGGGTGACCTTTGATTTGGTTGTTAATGGACTTGAATGCTAGAATGGGGAAGAGGTGTGTAACGAAGATTGTGCATGGAAATAATGATAGACGGTCTATTTGGAATTCTGTAGACGTGGCACTGCCAAGTCTGCTGAGGCGTCTTTGGCACCTGACTAATTTTAGAGAGGTTTTATTGATTACACAGAGACAGGGCACATTTTAATCATGTTCAGAACACTCTATTGCCTGAGGTACCAAAATCCATTAAAGGGGGATTATAAACTTTGTTTAAACTGGATCCTAAATTGTTTCTTGATGTATAGTCAACAGCAGCTCTGGAAGATCAATCTCAGGTACGAAGGCATATTAAACTCATCTTCTTTAATTTTAATTGTTCATATGCCTAACCCTCTGAGGTGCAGCTGTTCGTGAAGCTAAATTACTTTTCCAGATAGGAGTTTCCCTCTTAGGTTCCCTCCATCAGGCATTTTAACTGCTTCATTATTTATTTATTTTTATTTTTATGTCTTTTTCAGAAAGATAATTTACTAACACTTTAAAATGTTTATTTACTATGTTTTGTAATTTCACAAGGGGATACTATTTTTTCAGAAACATTACTTGAAGCTAAAACAGCTTCCTGACAGGCTGCATAACTGGCCCAAGTGGCTAATTGATGGCAGAGCCAGGATTAGCGCCAGGAAGGCGGGACCCAAAGCCTGTGCCCCCCACACACACACTCACAACCTGTAGTACATGCGTGGACATGTATTTGTTCTTTGCCTCTGATTTTGAGATGTTTTTAGAAATCTAAGTTTCTGGGTTTTCCTAGAGGCACCTACTGATGCTCAGAAACATTCTATCGCCTAAGGCTCAACAAAGGAGAACAAATGCCGTGCGGAGCTCTACGGAATGAATGTTGAATCTGCCAGAGATGTATGACGCGCTGCGTGCATGACTGAGGTGTCTGCCATTCTATGTATTCTTCACACATCCACATATGTTCACACGCGCGTGAGCAAGCAAGAGATGCTATGCATGGGAAACGTATGTTTCCCCGAAAAGTTGGTCATTACCTACTCTGCACACATAGGGAAGTTTCCATTGACAGAGTTTCTTTAAAATTAAGAATGAGAATTCGTCAACTGTAGTTGCCTTTTCTTACAATTACCGTGTTTTTCTATTCTCATCTAAACTATTGAACTTGTTTTATCAGTAAAAAGAATTAAAGAAAACACTTTGAGGTGAGCTGAGTATTCTATGAAATTCAGTATTTAGAATTTGTCAGAGTCACTCAAGTGACAAATTGCCCTGACTTGTCACTGTCACCTAACTTCCTTTTAGCTATTCACCCCATCCTCCTTGGCCGAATGTGAACTTCTATATATTTAATACAACACTTTCCCTAGGAGTTAAGTTTTGCCTAAGTGTTTCATGGTATTTGTTTCATGGACTTCGGCCAATAGGAAACTTGGCAGAAGGTCCCGTACTCCTTCCTGGACTGGGGACAGACTCATTGACCAAGGGTGACAATTTCAAAACTCAACCATTTAAATGTTCAAGGACAGGCTGCACACCTCAAATGTTAGGTATCAAATAAATGGGCACAACATTGCATGAGTCAGCATAAAATTCCTGAGCAATGTTTTGTGCACATTTTAAATTGTCAGAAAAATTAGGACATGTTTATTTCCATTGCTGTATAGAAAAACCTATTGTAGAATTATTAGAAGTACTAAATACTAAAATTATGTAATATGTACTGCATTTTAACAACTTCATACTCTCATTCACATAGGAGATAATATTTACATGAAATATTTGCAAACATTTTAAATGGTACTAAAGGTCACAAAACTGCCTTTTCATTTAAAATTTTAAAAAAATTGCTATTTATTTATTCAGCCTCTGTTGCCTTAAAGGTTTTGCAATATATTTTGGGTGGTGGGCAAGGTGGACTTAGGTTATAATATAAATATTTAAAAATTATCAAGGAAGGAGGCTTGCATGTGATAGGAGTCAAAAAAAGAGCCGGTAATAAATTTATTATTGCTTTGGTTTCGTAAAATCGGCAACACGAACATGCTTCTCAGGAACACACATTTTTCGTTGAGCAGAAACATGCAGGGGATTGTTTAGACAGCTCACCCGATTAAACCTGGTTCCAGAGGTTGGAAGTTGTTTCCGGCAGAATATTGAGGGCCGTAGGAGGATCCATAGATAAAATCAGGTGGCAAGGAAGTAGAAACGTTCAGTTTGATTATGAGCTGATCTTGGTCACGAGATGCAGGAAGCAAATGGGAGTGAAGATGTCATGTGACATTGATCAGTGCTGAGGGTCAGAGGGCGGGGCCAAGGCAGAGCAAAGGCTCAGGACCCCCGGGGGCAAAGGTCAGGCGGAGCTCTGTGTGCTGGCGTTTCTGTCTTGCTGAATTCCAAAGAAGAGAAAGAAAGAAAAGGCAGAAGACAGAACGTTTGTAAAAGATATTTAAAACTTTAAAGTGATGGGCTCTTATGCCACTAATTTGATATTACAAAGTCTCTATCAATTGTAAATTTTCAAAACGTATTTAATAGCAAGTTGAGTATAGAATAATTCTATTTTATTAAAAATGATTTTAAGGCTTTATAAATACATTCTAAAATATCGCCCTCTATATTCTTTGCTGAGAAACTGTAAACAAAATTTTTAAAAGAGCAAAACAGTGCGTATCAGATGTGTGCAAGTGCAGTACTCTGGGCAGAAGTTTTTTTTTTTTTTTAAGATTTTTATTGGGGAATTGGGGGATGGGAACAGCACTGGAGAATTGGGGGAAGGGGAACAGACAAGTTGCTGTCGTTTTGTTCTTCAGTCTAGTTGTGGAGGACGTTGCTTCCCTGGCCCAAGTTGGCACCATCATTGCGCTCTTCCTGATTGAGGCAGATCAGTCGCTGGCTTCTGGATGGCCGCTCACTGCGGCTGCTGGCCATTCACGCTGGCTGCTGGCCGTTCACGCTGGCTGCTGGCCGTTCACGCTGGCTGCTGGCCGTTCACGCTGGCTGCTGGCCGTTCACGCTGGCTGCTGGCTACACACAGTAGCCCATGGCAACCCACTGCAACAGGGGCTGCAGCCTACGCCCTTGCCAGTGACCCATGGCAGCCCAGCTCCAGGTCCAGCTGTTGTTCAGCATCTTAGCTGTAGAGGGCAGTGTTACTGGCCCTCATGTGGGATCCGAACCAGGTACCTCTGGCATCCCAAGCCAGCTCTTAGCCAACGCGCCACTCGGCAGGCCCTGGGCAAAAGTTTTTAAAAGATGACTTAGCTCTCTGGCAATTCAGGGTTATTCTCAAAAATAAACCAAATTGTCATAATGTTTGATCTGTTAACCTGGGCTTACAAATGTATAATGTATATAATATAACCACAAATAGTAGCGATAGAAAAGGTTCTTCATTAAAATAAAGGTAAGGAGGTTTAGCCCATAGCGTTATTCTCAATTTCTTCTTCCTGTCACAGACCTCAAAGTAAATTAAAATGTGTCTTTATTGTTGTAAGAGAAAATAAATATTTTAAAGTTTGGTAAGCCCAAAGGCCATGTGGAAATGAAAATGAATTTCTGGTTAAGTATTTAAAAATAGTACTTTTAAATACTTAAAGTGAACTATTTTTAACTGTTATTTTTAACCTTGTTTTTCCTCATTGTTTTAAAGATAATTTCATTGGCAATATTTGTATAGATATTTTGTATTAATGTTAAAGACACAGTCTGCTATCCCCCCAAATTAAATTATATGCACCTGAAATCTTAAGCGTCAAAGAATGTTTGTAAAGCGAGGAGCTAAAGCCAGTAGCCTGGGGTTTGATGTTGATGCTCCCACTTACGAGTGATGTGACTTTAGGAAGTTATGTAACTCGTGAGACTCTGGTCTCTTATGAATAATAACATCTGTCTCCTTAGGGCCCACATCCTTGTGGGGTTTGATGGACTGGCAAAGTTCAGGTTGCTGGGTATCATCGGGATGGCTCATTCACTCGTTTAGTTATTTGTTTATTTAAAAAAAATATTTTCGGAAACCCTACTTACGTATTGAAACCCTTCTGTGGTTGTGGACACATTAGTGAACAGACGAAAACCCTTGTCCTCTATGAGCATATAGTCTAGCAATTGCCAGACCAAACAGTCAGAGCAGAGGAACGTGTTAAGAGGGCCACAGAAAAAACACCAGCGTAGGGCCGGCCGAGTGGCGCGTTGGTTAAGAGCTGGCTTGGGACGCCAGAGGGCCCCGGTTCGGATCCCACATATGAGGGCCAGTGACGCTGACCTCTAAAAAAAAAAAAAACACCAGTGTCACACGTTTATGGACTTCAGGTGGCCTGTTTGATGGTGCAGAATTGTGACATGTCTTAATAACTACATTGGGAATTCGGCCCAGTAGATATCAATAAAGTGAAGGTTGAATGTAATTATTTATTTAGCTGTAATTAAAATTTAAACTTTTAAGGCCGGCCGAGTGGCTCAGTTGGTTAAGAGCTCACTCAAGAGTTTGAGCTCTGAGCAACAGCGGTTCGAGTCCCGGCCCGAGCTGAGCAGCCGTTAAGCTGCCAACAGGTGGCAGGATGGCTCAGCTAAAAAAAAATAAATAAATAAAATAAATAAAACTTTTAATTGTAATTATTAAATTTTAATTGTTAAATTATTTATCATTTAGAATATTATAAATCTGTTCCTATTGCTTTTTAAATCTTTTTTCTTTTTTTTTATTCTTAGCCTTCAGCTCTTTTTCTGTGAACTAAGTAAATGATCAACAATTTGAGTAATTCATGACTGACTTTTGTTTTGTTTTTTTTAGCTGAGCCATCCTGCCACCTGTTGGCAGCTGTTGGCAGCTCAGCTCAGGCCAGGAATCGAACTGGTGACCTTGTTGCTCAGAGCTCGCACTCTTGAGTGAGCTCTTAACCAACTGAGCCACTCGGCCTGGCCCTAACAATTTGAGTAATTCATAGACAGCTATTGTTTTAAAGATTACAGTATTTTGGGCAATCTACATTGATAACTACTTTCTTCTAACCATTGGTATTTTCCATCAAACTTACTGTATCTTCAGCTGAAAGGAAAGGAGAGGGCGAAAAATTCAAACGTTTTTAAGCCCTTACTGTCTGTCTGATGACTTAATGCCATGAAGTACCCATAGCAACCATGGAGATGGGCAGTAATTAGAGATAAAAAAACAAAGACCGAGTTGGTAAATGGCAGCACATGACTGAACCCTGTCTGATGGCACTTTGCTCATGTAGTTACACCAAGTTGAATATGGACATGCTGTTAGAGAAAAGCGGGTATTTCTATATATGTAAGCCACATGAAAACGAAAGGGACATGGACGCAGGGGTATAACTGAGGCATTTCTAGGAGTAACAGAGATGTCATGTATTTAAACCCCCTGTACACTCCGAGCACACAGACGGAGAGGTGACATGGTCCTGGGCAGGCACTTTCACTGCCCCATTTTTAGATTTTGGACCAAGTGTGTGAAGTGCTTCAACTAAAGCTCACCTTGAAACAGTCAAGATGTCCCCAGTTCAGAAGTGCATGTTTTCTGCCAAAAATGACTTCTCTTCTAATATGTGCTTCTTGACCCAGCAGGATATTGACCAATAGCTTTCACAAAACTTTTCCTTGCTCTTTTGTCCAAATACCAGGGGACCCAAGCTCTTAAAGATTTCCAAACACCAGCCTCATCAATCATTCTGGCAGCCACTGGGCTGGATCAGGGACCCATAAAAGTCGCCATGTGGATGAAAACACAACGCAGTAGAAAACTTGAAAATGAAAACTTTCCATCATTCCATCATAGGCTACCTACTTGAATTTTCATGCTTCGCCAGAAAAGAGAGAATGAAATCAGCAAGTAGAATAACAGGCGAGACGTGAAAAATCTAACTTTAAATACTGGTCTGCTTGTCCTTGCTCAAACGTGTTCTGAAAGCATTCAGCTTTCTTCACCATTTGGATGCTTATATAATACATACTTTAATTTCATATTTGCGTTCTTCTAAAACAGTGATTGGTAAACAGCTCCTTCGTAACGCTGAATTTCCTCCTAATGAAACTTCTTGTTGACGTTTACAAGCTTCAAAGCCATATTTTTTAAATGTAATTTTAATTCATGTAAAAAGTAGGGATACTGTTTTAGTTTTGTTTGTTTGTTTACTTAACTTTTTTAAGAAAAACACACCACTTTTTTCCCTAAAATAAATGTGTAGAATCTGAATGATTATATGTTTGAAGTTCGGGTTTTCTAACTAAAATATGAACCCGGCTACGTGGGAAATAATGTCGCCAAGATATCCCCTTAGGCAAAAACTAACTAGTCAGCTACATGGAGGTATCTGAAGCATAGTGATTCAGAAATCGTTTTAAGAAGATGAAACTCACTAATTGCACAAAATATCTAATTTACATACTTAATTTCCAACTTGACTTATTTCAGACCAAGATCTAGCCTGAAGAGTATTCAGTTTATGAACAGGTTGGGGGGGGGGCGGCGGAATTTCTTTTGTATGTTCCTGCTACATATATTTAATTGGAGTAACAAATAGTGTTGCTTTGAAAAGCCTGTGAAAGATTTTATAACAAGGCATTTCCACAATGAAGAAGTTTATTGAATATTCTGATGGGGTGAAGCAGGAGAGTAAAAATTTTAAAAAGTATAATTTTTCAACATACACTATTTTTAGCAATTATCAAATTAGAGAAAATAAGGCAAAATAGTATATTTAACAGTTGTAAATTAAGAACAAATTCCATTTTTTAGTGCTTTAAAAATGAAAGTTTTCTTGACAGTTTCCTGAAATGATAGAGTTGATACTTTTTTGTGGAAAAATCAGCATCTCCTGAGCTCTGGGCACAGGGCCATGGCTTGTGGGCTTTATCTGTTAATAGAGTCACTGCTGTTACGGTCACACATCCTCCCAGCTCTGGCTCTGCCGCCAGCATTGATCTGCGAATGGGCTGCCCCGGGATGCAGGTGGCGAAAAACGCCTAAGTGTTCCTCAGACAACCGGAGACTCTTGGTCTCGTGCAAATGCACAGGTAAAGCTGTCAGTCAGATCAGATTCTCTGTATTGCCCATTCTCTCAGAGACACCGAAAGATTTATTTCAAAACTAACACTGTATCCCTTTGACCAGCAATTGTAAGGAAGCATATACGTTAATCATGAATTCTCAGTTGTTCTCAGTAGGATGTAAGCAAATGTGTAATGCTTTGTCATTTGTGTCATCAAAGTGAATTAATCAATTGCATACTTTACACTTAAATATGAAATATATATATATATATATATATATTTAATGGAGATTTTATAAAGAAAGATAAGTTTTAATAGGAATTCCTTTATATCCATACAATAAAAAGAATGACATAGGGTGCGGTCTTAGTCAAATGGTAGGATGTCGGTCACACAGGTGGGTCCCTCACAGAGGGCTGCTGTATGCCCAGGTGCCTGCAGTTAACAATACTTCCTGAAGACTGAAAACTTGCTAGGAAAGTGGGTCTTATGCTAACTGTCCCTATCACAAAGTAATAACAAATAAAAGAGGATGGAAGAAGCTTCCGGAGGTGACAGATATGGTACCGATTGTGCTGGTTTAACGGTTCATCTCCAAACTCACCAACTTGTATGCATTAAATTTGCACAGCTTTCTGTATGCTGTCAGACCTCAGTGAAGTGGTTTAGAAAACTTAAAAATGTTTACAGCTTGTGTTTAAATGAAGTTGATAAAATAATTTCGATATTTAAAGATATTCCCGTAAACCTCTTTTTCTTACAAATTGGAGAATGCCTCCATTATGTGTCTGCACTAATATAGGTTTTATTTTTTAAAAAATCAATATTCCAAGTTGCCTAGAATGGAGGTCCATAGTAAGAAACTGCAATCGACTTGAATTGCTATATAGTTGCTGCAAGCAAATTAGAATATAAAATGGAGTCCGTTTTGTAACAGCTAATTTAGCCCTTCTTTACTGACTGATAATATTCTTAGCTCTGAAGTAATTCAGGACACGTCACTCCAAAATGTGCTGCTTTGGCATATTGACTATTCTGAGTTACAGACAACAGAAAACAGCAACTATAAGAAAACACTCGGACCCTCTTTTTTATGAAAACAGATTAAATATTCATGTGAAAAATGTCTTCCGTAGACCAAAAGAAAAGGAACATTTTTTTTAATGAGGTATAATTGACATACATTGTATTAGTTTCACGTGTATGACATAATGATTCGATCTTTGTATGTATTGCAAAATGACCACCGCAGTTAAGTCTAGTTAACATCTGTCACCACACATAGTTACAGAATTTTTTTTCTTGTGATGAGAACGTTTAAGATCAACTCTCTTAGCAACTTTCAAATATTCAACACAGTATGATTAACTATAGTCACCATGATGTGCATGACATCCTCATAACATTTTTTTAATAACTGGGAGTTTGTACCTTTTGACCCTCTTCACCCATTTCACCTGCTCCACTCCCCACCCCCACCTCTGGCAACCACCAATCTGTTCTGTGTATCTATGAGCTTAGCTTGTTTTTTTGTTTTGTCTTTTCTTTTTTTTCTTTCTCTCTCTCTCTTTTTTTAAGGATTCCAGATATAAATGAGATGAACTGGGGAAAAGAGCATCTTCACATCCTTGATGATAAGTTGAGACAGAGAATTCTCTGCAAAGAGATCTTGTTAAAATGATTCTTACCTTCCTTGAGCTCTCCTACATAGATGAATTCTTTTTTCACAGTTGCCTCTCTTTGTCCAACCTAATAGAAAGCAAGCAGATTTTGCCATTTCTTAGGTTCTTCATTTGGTATGAAGGCTCCTGTGTCATGTAAAACTTGTATTAAGTACATTTGTATGTTTTTCTTCTGTTGATCTATGTCAATTTAATTCAGGCCCAGCCCTAATTGGGTAAAGGAAAAAGTTTGCTTCCCATACAGCTCTAATCCAAGCCAGTTTCTAAACTAATCAAAGAAAATGTATAGGCGTTTAAGTATACAAACAAACTAATTACATTATAAATTATGTTAATTAAAACCAAGAAAGCAGCTAAGTACCCAAAAGCAAATAAGCACAGATATTAATCAAGGAAGCCATGTTTACAGATTGCAGTTTACATTCAGTGAAGGGAAATATCACTGGCAGGTACACAGACAGGATCATTGGGATATTTTCCAAGTGTAATTAGAGACCTAGCTACCTTTTCTCCTATTTTAAAGTATTATATTAAGCTCCTTAAAAGAAGCATGAAGGATTAATTTTAAAAACTACAGAAAATCGTTCGTACCCCGTCCTTCCTGGTTCTGCAGGGGAACGTAGAGAAGCTGACCTCGGTAGACCATGATGGTAGTCTGTAGGCCGTCTTCCTGCTCTGACGTCCTACCAGGCGAGGTGTGACGGCCCAGCTCCCAGAAGCTCTGCCCTGGCCCCTCGCCCCACCGCCTCCACCCCAGGTTCTGCCACACAGCTTGACTGTACATCCCCTTTTATAAACTTTTGTTCTGTGTTTTCTTATGTTGCTAACAGTGGATGGCCTAAAGCCTACAGAAAGCCATTTAGTGGATGAAGATCATCCCAGATGCGATATATTAAAGGTTATTACAGGGTTTTTCAAAAGTCCAGAGTCCTCACACAGTAATTTTCAGTGCCATGGAGTCTGTATAATAGGAAAATATTCTTAATAGGAAAATAATCATGATGCTTATGATGATGATTGAAGAGGTGTTTAGGATAGTCAGAGATGATAAGAAAGGCCCTACTTTACAGATGAAAGCTTGGCCAGGCTGGCGTTACATGTCGGGATAATGGCTGCCTCATGTGAGAATGTCATACGAAGATCTGACTCTCAGCAGATGGGTCATTTCAAGCTGCCAATTGGGAGCAGGTGCATATAAATCAGGGACAGTGTGGAAGCAGCTTCCACTCAAGTTCTGGAAGCATGGACACTGCAGCCATTTAGCTTTTCCCTAGTTTAAGCTCAGAGGTTGTCAGGAAAGGTAGATTGGTTTCTGTCCTTGTCACTGAAGACCAGCATCCATAGTACCAGGGACTTGAAAAGTGCAGACTTCATACTCACCTTCAATTTGGAGAGGGGATCCCAGTAAAGCTACTTTATGATTGGGGGGGGTGGGGGGGGGGANCAGAGGGGGCGCCGCTCAGCCGCGGGGACGGGGCTGCGACGCTGCTGTCACCGCCTCCCCATCTCGCGTCACGGGTGACAGACCAAGAGGAAACCCTTCCCTCGAGCGTTCTGGGTGGAAAACAGGACCCCGAAAGTCTTCGAGTGCCGTGGCTACGGCGAGAGAGAGAGAGAAGTAACAATTCTTATTTACCACATGATTACTATCTGCTGGGCTACAGCACTGGGCAGAGTACTTTGTATATTAACTCAGTGAAACCTCAGGAAAATTATTTGAAGTAGGTAATATCATCATCATCCCTGTTTTTAGTATGATAAACCCACGCACAAGTAACTTATTATAATAACTTACCCAAAATCACACAGCTGGTGAGTGACGGAGCCAGGAAGTGACAAAAGAGGCCACCTGCCCCCGATGCCATGCTCTCAGCAGCCAGACTCCATCCTGTGTGTGAAAGGCAGTTACCCAAACAGTCCTCTCACTTCCCCCATGATCAGCTTCAGGAGGAAAAAAGAAAACACATTTTCTGCAGTCATTTTCTTTCCTCTTTTATTTCCCCCCCAAAAGTATTTAGGATTCCCTTGCAAAGATTTTATGTTAAACAAAACTGTAATATTTATATTTCATTGTTTTCATATATAGCTAATATATAATACAAATTACTCTGAGTTTATATTATAGAGAGCTCATCTCTCTTGAGTAAACTCAAAATCTGAAGGAAGAAATATAATCTGTATTTGAAATTTTTCTCAATACTTAAAGTAGTATTAAAAAGACCATGACAATTCTGACATAAAAGAGAAGACAGAGAATATGTTACATTTAATTGATAGTTGGATTCAATGTGGCTGAAGAATGAATCTCAGGCACCTCCTATATGTGGAAGGGCATGGGGCAGAAATTAAATTTGCAAGTGACACTTTTCTGTCTGTCACCCAAACACTTAAATGTAACAATGTAATGATATACTTGTGCTTATGAACCCGCTATTGAGATTAAATTTCTGGATTTAATCAATCCATTTAATTAATTCATCAAGGAGTTATTCCTTAATAATGTGGTAAGGTGAAAAACCACTCTCTATTGTAAAGGGAGAGAGAAAGGAGAGGAGCCCTTGAAGAGAGGAGGGCTTCCACGAGAAGACAAGCAGTGCTGCTGAGGGAGTGACTGCAGGGGCATAGGCGAGTCTGCCATGTTTGCCCTGAGGACAGCTAGCAGGCCAGCTACAGGGGTCGGAGTCCAGCCAGTACGTGGTCAGTCCAAATACTTTCCATCTTCATTTCCATGGAGACAGATTTTCAGGCTCTTAAAGTTCCAAGTACAGTTTATAAGATGTCATGGAGTTCGAAGAAAAATGAGAGAATCTCATGCATTTTAATACAGTTCTACTTTTTTAAACATTGACTGTCTTCCCCATACAATATGTATTGCGTGGCAGGCTCCTCGGGAAGTAGACCCGAAAGTGAAGGATAGTGTGAACGACATTAACTGTTAAATATTTTCAGGGTTCACCTGTTATTATTTTTTTATGTATTGCACAAATTATTTTTATTTTTTTATTTCAGGTGTACAAAGCAACGTAATAGTTAGACATTTGCACCCCTCACAAAGTGATAATTCCCTCCCCCAAAGCTACTGCCCCTCTGACATCCTATAAAGCTGTTACAATTCCCTTAACTCTCTTCCTATGCTGTGCTCCACCTCCTGAGTATATACAGAGTGTGCCAAAAAACTGTATACACATTTTAAGAAAGGAAAAAACTGTATTAAAATTACACTGATGGTAACCATTTTTAGCACCTCTTTTAATTGCAGAAGTCAAATGTGACTTGTATTCATCTTTTGTTATTGGTGTATATTGAGTATTACAATTTTAATAGTTTTTTCCTTTCTTAAAATATGTATACATTTTTTTGGCACACTCGGTATATATATTTAATTACAGTTGACATTCAATATTATTCAACTTCAGCATTAGATGTACAGTGCAGTGGTCAGGCATCTACGCAGTCTATGATGTGATCCCCCTGATAAGTCCAGTGTCCAGCTGGCACCCTACACGATGTTAACAACATTGTTGATTATATTCCTCATACTGTAGTTCATGGGGATACAACCTGCAGAGCTGGTTCTTCCAATTCCTCTTCCTTCTCATACCAAGGCCAGCGTGTCCCCAGGCAGGCTGTGCTGGGATTCTTCCCCAGGTCAGGGCTCTTCAGCCAAAGAGAGAGGGAGGTGGGGGAGGGCGACTTCTTTGGGAATTGCTGCTGGTTTGGAGAATCCTCTGTAGTGTCGCCCAGTTCAGGGCAGTTGTCTCTTGTCAGAAAGGGAGGGGACCCCTCTGCTGGCTTATGAAGCCACCATATTCAGGAGCATCCATCTCCATACCTGCAGGAGACCAGGTTTCTTTCCCACTGACATCCTCACCTTGCACAAAGGACATGCAGTGGCTGGGATTTCCGCCTCTGCAGAGCTTTGTCACTCTAACTTGTAGGGGCCACAGAGTTCCAGAACATTTTCGTTGCTGTTGTCTTTGATTGGCCTGCCTTGAGGCTCATGCATATGTCTGAACTAATCTGTTACCAGGGAAACTAGGCGTTTCCACTGAACAGGCAGGGGTCCTGTGCATTGCCATCTGTGCCGGAGCCTGATGGGAGGAGTCAGAGCACCTGAAGCACGTGTGCCTGAGGCGGGGGAGGGGAATTCGTTATCTACACACAGAATCCTGTACTGTTTCCACAAGAGGGAGGGACTGCAGGGCAGCAAACCTGCAAATATTTGAAAAAAATCCCCATAGGTTGATTTCTCTTTATTAACTATGTTCCGAGTTACTTGGAACCAAAATGGGATTTTAAATTAAGACCCGTCATGAAACACAAATTTTGAACATCAAAACCTCACGCCTTAGATCCAAACATGTTCTTTCAGTCGCAGGCCTCCACGTGTGTCCTGGAGCCTGGACCACGGGACGACTGCGGACGGGAGGGGAGGGGACTCCACCGGCGCGCGGGGTGGCCGCGGGGGCTGCTCGCGGACCGAAGTGCTGAGCCTCGGGGTCTCAGCCCGACCCGCCGGCGGGTGTGCGCAGGGAGGCAAGGAGCCCCGAGGGGCGCGCGGGCCGGCGCGGAAGGTCAGGTCAGCCACGCGTTCCCCTCGCTGTGCTGGTCACCGTCGCCTGTGGAGCGGGAGCGACTGTCCTCTCCCCACCCGGCGCCCGAAGCGCGGGGAGGAACCCCCCGAGGTGCGCCTGTGACCAACTTTGGGGGGCGCGACCCCGGCCGGTCCTGGGCGGCAGCGCCACCCCGCGCGCGGCGTGGGAACGGAACTTGGGGCTGGGGTGTCCCCGCGCCCCGGCGCAGCCCCAGCTCGGCGGCGGATTGGCGGGCAGAGGCGCCTCCTTCCCTCGCTCCGGGAGGTGGCAGCCAGCGGGTCCGGGTCCGGGCCGGTGGGGTCCACAGCGTGTGCACCCCGTGCAGGGCCCGGCGGGGACGGCGCCCCCCGAGCCCCGAGGCCCAGGACAGGGAGGAGGGTCCCGGACCTTGTCCACCCCGAAACCGACCCGAGGGGGTGCGGCTCCAGACGGGGCGCCGCTCAGCCGCGGGGACGGGGCTGCGACGCTGCTGTCACCGCCTCCCCATCTCGCGTCACGGGTGACAGACCAAGAGGAAACCCTTCCCTCGAGCGTTCTGGGTGGAAAACAGGACCCCGAAAGTCTTCGAGTGCCGTGGCTACGGCGCGTGTGCACTTGCTGACTTCCTAGCTAGTCAGAGCCCCTGAAACTGGAAGATTGTTACAGGAACGAGGCGGGGGCGCGGGGCGCCCGAGTCTTCCTGTCGTTCAGTTAGAGCCTCCGCGTCCGCGACGGGGCCGAACCGGCCCCAGTGGGTTCCGCTGCGCACGCTCTGGGCTCCAGGTCCCCAGGCCCCTGGCCCTGCGGCTGGTGTCAGACACGCGCCACGTGGCGCCAAGTGGTGTGAGCTGCCCGCAGCGCCACGCGGAACCTGAGCTGTGGCGGTGGGCTCCAGTGCTGAGTCCAGCTCGGGAAGCTCACCTTCAGGTAAGTGTCCCATTGTGGGAGGGGATGTCTAGCCAGTGATAATGACTCACTTGTAAGTACGTAACTTTTCTAACAGATGAAGCAGCTTTGTTTCTCCTAAGTTTAGTTACTGAGACAATTTCAGAGTTGCCCAAGAGACTAACTGTGTTCTCTTAGTTGATATCATTTCAATTAAATTAAATCAAGTAAAACAAAACAAACAAACAAACACTTTTTATCTTCCTGGGTTATGTGTCAGTCTCTCTTTAGAAACATTCCAGCACTGAGAGGCCCGACCCACCTTGTAATTGTTTCAGATCAACTGCGTCCTCTGCAGCCTGAGGGCCTGGCATTGTGTGGCGTTTTGGGGTGCTGCCCCACACCAAGCCTTTTATCACCTTTATTAGCTCCTCTGACAGGGGACCCATCGGAATCTCCGATGTACTTAGGACTGAAGTTTTACTTCTCTTTTTGTAAAGAACTGTAATATGACTACATATGTCCTGTGCGAGGATTTCAATGCCTGGATAGCATCCTCATACTTAAATACCCGCACTGGCGGGACCCATCTCCAACACATGGGCATCCTGTGTTTGCCCTTGGAGCGTGGCTCAGAGCAGAATACCGCTCAGGAGAATTCCTCAAAGTCTACTTAGACATGTGTTTTTGTTTTGTTTTGTTTTTTGTTTTTTTTCCTTTCCCAGACTTCAAAAATACAATAGAAACTCTCTTAAAAATAGAAGTATGCATTCTGAGGGGCTTTCTCTAACAGGGATTATCTCTGTCTTTCCCCCACAATTAACCATGTCTACTTTCCCTGTGATATACTAATAGTGTTTCTTTAAATGCATTTAATGGGAAAAATAGGAGGCAAACCCCTTAACTACCTAAAATCTTTATTCTAAACTTAGTATTTAACATTTTTCTTTAGCATCTTTAAAATGAAGGAATCTCAAAACAATAAAATATCTTGTATTTTGTGAAGAGATTTGTGGTGTTTTGTTTTGTTTTTTTTTACTTACAATATGACATTTTCTTTTAGCTATTTTTTTTGAGAAAATAGTATTTCAAAAAATTATACCCAATCTCTGAGTCATTTTGATAAACTGGAAAGTTACTTTTAATGATAGCAGGGATGATATTGCAGTTTTGTTTTTAATTTTTCCTGGACCTTATATTATGTGCATTAAGTTTATTATGAGCTGGGGTTAACATATACAATGACTGATGTGGGCTTGGGGAAATCGGAATTTTAGTTCCTTATTTTAACCAAGGGGATGACTGACTTGGTCACTCCCTTTCAGCCTCAGCTGCTCTGTGGCGCTGGGGGCGCAGGGACAGCGACTGAGAGCCGCACCCAGCCCTCCGACACCCACGCCCAGACTCCAGGTCCTGCTCAAGGTGAAGTGCCGTACTCATGTACTATCTGTGTTTGTCAGTCATTCGATGGTGTAAACTCTGCGGCTGTAGTAAGTTCTGAGTTTTAGTTTTTACGCGTCACCGACAAGGTTTCTGAGCAGCGTACATGTAACTGCATGTTCCCCACAGGGCTGTGATTTAGACCATCCGAATGGGCAGAGTTGGGTGATGTTTTTAGCTCTGCACAGGTCAGATGACAGCAGGATGGACTGGATAGGGATGAGACTGTATGGATAAGTACTTCATTATGTTAGGTATGATCAGAAATACATAATTTGTAGGATCACTAATGTTATTGCACTTATTGCAGTGCTGAGCTGTAATGTCTGTTTAGGTTATGGATTGTTGTGGGACAAACAATCCTGGAACTTGATAGTTTGCATTGAATTAAAATTAAATTCAAGACTTAGTAAGTTTTACTCTCTCCCCTGGCTCCGTGGCTTGGCTGGGCTCAGCAGGGCAGTTCTCCTGCTGGTGTCACTGGGGTCTCATGTTATAATCGGACGGCAGCTGGGGCTGGCGGCGCCCTTGGTCTCCGGGCAGGTTATGAGGGCAGTGCCTCCTTCTCTCTCCAAGTAGCCACAGGGCCTCGTCTCTCCATCTGGCATCTGCATGGGTGTCTCCGCGTGTTATCCTAACAGAGTACGGTGGGTCGTTTCCTTCAACATCGGTAGAAAAAGGATTCTCGGCAGAGGCCGCTATCAGTGTGGAGGATGCACTCTTCACCCCGTGTCCGTGGGTTTTCTCCAGGGCTCAGCTTCCTCCCACATCCCACAGGTGTGCAGTCAGGCGAAGGGCGTGTCTACACTGTCCCCGCCCTAGTGAGAGTGGTGGGTCTGGTGGCCCTGATGGAAGGGCGTCCTGTCCAGGGTGGGTCCCCCCTGCGCCCTGAGCTGCTGGGAGAGGCTCCTGCCCCGAGACCCTGAAGTGGAATCAGTGGGTTGGAAAATCATTCCCTTACTTGTGTGTATTCATCTTTCTGAAATGTTTGTAGAGCTCACATTTATTTCAGCGTTTCATTTTAGAAGCATTTGCGTCTTTATGTAGAAGTTTGGTGGTGTTTTTGTGACCAGAAATACTGTAGGAACTTAGCTCTTTTTTCTATCAATTACCCTCTGGTTAAACGAGTTTCCTTATGTGTCTTTTCACTTAAAGTCACAGTTTCCAAGAACACATGGATGGTTGTAAGTGAGGGCTTGCTGGAGTCACATTCCTTACATGGAAACTCAGGGTAACCAGGAAGCACACCGTGGGCGCTGCCAGACCTTTTTCAGACTTAGGCCTGGAACAGGCTCAGCACCACCTCCCCTGCCTCCAGGAGGCCGAGCACACAGGCCGCTAGGCCCAGGAGCAGCAAGTAAACGCGATGTCTTAATGGGGGATGCCAGGGGCCTTCTTTATTCCTCACTATATTCTTCACTGATCATTTTGCATATGAATATCACAAGATTTTAGAGCTAGACCATTCTTAGCAATCACATAATCCAACATAATCAATTCACATGAAAGGGTAGTAGAGCTAAATGTCACAATAAAAGATAGAGCTCTGACCCGCTCTTAATTTTTAAATATCTCATAACCCGTGGAAATCTGCTTGGGATATAGTAGGTAATAAATATATACTTGTCGACATAGGGATTCATTAATAAATAAAACCCGAGATTAGAATAATATTTAACTTGTCAGAAACATGCCTGAATTTTCCAAAGGCATTAGGACTTGAAAGATATTTTAAATGATAGCTGAACAAGATATTTCAGGAAGTTTTAACTGTTTTCACATAATTATTGTGCGTTTTCCAAACACTCACATAAGCACAGAGAAATGGGATGTTACAGGCAGTAGATATAAGGTGAATCTCTTATTCCTGAGGGATGTATGAGTCCCTCCCGGCCTAATACCAAGTTCATGGTGCCTGAGGTGATGCTTAACTCCTAACCTTCATCTCACCCCAAGAATGTCCTTATTTAAGAGAAAGCTACTGTGCATATGCTCTTCTCAGATAATAAATTAGGATCGGGAACCTGTGTTTATTACCAAAGGTTATTCTTCTAATGAGCAACAATATCTAATAATTTTGTTTTGTGCCTGAATTAAAAAATGCATTTACTAAGAAAATTCACTGTATAGAACAGGAAGAAACAAGTTCCGTTGGTTTAAATGATGCACATATGAGGTCGGACAATTGGGTTCGCGAACTATTCATAGAAAAAGCACTACATGCCTCATTGCTGAATATCACTATGGTCACCTTCGAGGTACTCCCCTTGGGAAGCTATACACCAACGACAATGCCTAGTCCACCCTTTAAAGCAATTTTGGAAGTCTTTCTGGAATGGCCATCAGAGCTGTCGTCATATTACCCTTGATGTCCTGAATGTTATCCAAATGTCTTCCTTTCAATATTTCCTTTATCTTCAGGTAAAGAAAGAAGTCATTGGAGGCCAGATCAGGTGAGTAGGGAGGGTGTTCCAATACAGTTACTTGTTGACTGGCTAAAAACTCCCTCACAGGCAGTGCCGTGTGAGCTTGCACATTGTCATGATGCTACAGCCATGAATTGTTGGTGAAAAGTTCAGGTTGTCTAACTTTTTCATGCAGCCTTTTCAGCGATTCCAAATAGTAACCTTGGTGAACTGTTTGTCCAGTTGGTACAAATTCATAATGAATAATCCTTCTGATATAAAAAAAAAGAAAGGTTAGCAACATCATTGTAATAAGCAGGGAGAAGCGTGCTGATCGGAGACAGGAGACAGGTGGTGGGGGATGATGGGGGGACCTGCTTCATGTTTGTACATTGTACATGGGAGGAGTTGTAGGGGTGAAAGGGGGGATGGAGGCAGGTCCCAGGCCTGGTCCCTGCAGGTGCACCGAAGCGGCCCTGAGGCAACGTGGTGAGGCCCTCAGGTGTGCAGGGCGCTGGGGTGGGTGGCAGGGCAGTCTGCTCCCGTCCTCACCACTGGCCATGGGCGTCTCCTTATCTTCTCTGCGTCTCAGTCTCCTTGGGAATAAAATGAGAATTATAACACCTGCCTCTCACTTGCTCTAAGGTTTCGAGGAGACACTACATTAAAATTGTTTAGAATGGCTCTTGGCGTATGGTCTAAAATCTCACCTATTTATCATTGAAAGAAGAGAAAAAGAAAAAACAAAAACAAGCAAACAAAAAAACCAATAGTGAGGTCTGAGACACCTCCTGTACCTCTGAGCAGATGCGTGTGTGTGTGTCACCGGGTCATGGCAGGGAAGATATGCACATGGGTGGGTGGTCCAGGCTGAGGCGGCATTGGAGGGAGGCCTGGGGCGACGTGGCAGCAGTCACGGTGACGGGCGACTCTGACGACAGCCGCAGCCTGCGCAGTCTCCACCGCGTGCCAGCTACGGCATGTATTGCAGCCCGAGGGCCTCAGTTTCCTCAGGCCTGAGATGACAAGCCTGGTGGGAACTTGCTCACGGTCTGTTCTGAGGATGAGACATCAAATACACTGTATGTGCCCCTTACTAAGGGAGAGTGGTCATGGGTCACATTTGGGGTGGTGCCTTTGCAGTGGGTTTTCAGCGGCAGGTGGAGGTGTGTCTGGGCAGGTGTAGGCTGAGGTCAGAGCTGGGGGTGTGAGCTGGCATTCCTCAGCATGTTGATGGTACGAGGAGCTCCTGGGCTGGGTGACTCTCCCAGACTGACTAAGGGTTACAGAGCTAACACCCGGTACAGGCTAGGGATTATACAGGAGAGTGACCAAGGGAAATAGAAGCGGACAAGGTCAGCGGCAGCTCACAGACTGCTTGTCACTCAGGCAAACAGAAGGAGCAGGACTCAGACACAGCGGCTCCCTCCGTGGTTTTCAGGGACGGCCCGAGTTCCAGGTGAACTTCTTACACAGTCTCGTTTCAAGTTCTAGGTCACAAAGTGTCCTCCATTTAACACTCCCTGATGCCTTCAGGTTGATTGTAGGCTTCTGCTGGATCACATCAGAGGGTGCATTTCTGCTGGTCAGTCACTGCCCGTGGTGTGGGGGAGGGCAAACAGAAGACGCTCTTTCAGTGTCCCCTTTAATTAATCATTGAATGTGGGACTCAGGTCTCTTTCCTCAGTACCCACAGCAGACTAGCGACTGGGCCCCAAACAAGACATGCCCCCCGCCCTCCGCCATGACCGACTGGAAAACTGATCAAATTTCCATGGTCAAGTCACAGAACACCCAGAATTTGTCTCCCTCCTCCTACCGGAGCCCAGCGGGAGAAGGAAAAGATGGTGGGCTTGGGGCCCGTGCTGACCAGCCCGAAACTCCAGACCCACACTAGAGGAGACCTTTGAACCCTCGTGGGCTCCCGCACTGTAAAATGGAGTGAGGACGCTTCCTCAATGCCCGAAGGGGCTGAAGGAGGGTGTGTCCTCAAACCCACGTTCTCACAGCCATCCTACGAAGTGTGCTTCTGCTCAGGGAACGCCTGGGTGTCCACAAATCCCCACTTTACTCTGCGCCCAAGACAGACACACCCTTCATCGCACACCCTCACCGTGGGCTTCAACCATTCAGCCGGTTTTGAGAAGGATGCGTGTAGTGTAAGTAGCGGATGCGTGCGTGGATTGCATTTGTGGCTGTAAAATTAGTTATAGAAATGCACTATTTACTTTTGTAGACATCAATTTCCTTATGTCTGAATGGCTCTTCAAATGTGTTAGGAGAGAGTTTTTACAGCTGGGTAGTTGTGTGTGTGTTTTGCTGTTTGTTTTGTTTTGTTTTGAAGCAGATTTAGCAGCATTCATAGTCAGGGACTGTCACAGTCTCATTATTTCCTGGCCCCCAGAGGGGAGCTGTGCCAATTAAGTACATTTAATGGAGACAATTAATGCTTCTTTGCCTGTGTTCTCCTGAAGCTACTGCTTCTTTGCTCACTGGTGCTTGTTACAATTTATTAGCCATGAATTAGACACCTCAGTAAAAGAAGCCTTTCTTCTTCTGTACCCCCAGAAGTCGCCC